GCAGCTCGGCTCCAAGCCAGCCGAGAAGAGAAAAGGAGCGCCGGGAGAGAGAGAGCACTCTGCTGCTGAATGAGTCACACAGCTGCTGATATTCATATTGATGAAGGAAAAAAAAAAAAATCGCACTCAAAAGTGAATAGGAGTGTTTTTGTTGGAAATGGCAGAAAACAAGAGAGCAAACATTTCAGGTTACAACCCTCAAGGAAACGTTTGCGTTTGTTTGTTCCTGTTGTTGCAGCATTTTTGGAATAAATAGATTCTGATCCATTTTGATGTGCCATAGCCTGATTCAATTATCTGCAGTCTGTGGTTGTGGTCCTTCTATTTGAACTGTGTCAGCCCCTGCTTTCCTGACACTAATGTTATCCCTTACTTTGTAACTGGGTAAAAGGTCGCCGGATTGACCCTCCGGACCAGCTGAGAAAATAGCAGGAGAAGCTGCTCAGTGGCCATTTAAAGGAAACTGTGACCGCACCAAGCAGCTATCCGAGTGAAGCTTTATGGCTATAAAGAAGGCTGTTGGTAGTACAGCCTGCTCAGCAAACCATCCCTGGATAAATAATGTTTAGGAATTTGCTGCCAGAATCTAGGTTGATTATTTTTCTGTTGTCCAAAACACCTGCAAGCTGCGTCCTCGGTTGTGCTCATTAGCTAATGTTAGCAGTCAGGCATTTCAACTCAAACTGGTCATATGCTGGGATAGAAAATGTTTTTCAACATGTGTTTCTATGGCTATGGCAAAAAAAAAAATAGCTGCTGTCCAATCGTTAAGATATGGATGTATAAAATGCTACTTTGCCGACAAACACATCCTATTTTGTCCAGCGCACTACATGCCTTTACATGTCATACATTTTGCTGCATATTCCCCTTAGGGTTGCCCTAAGCAACACACGCAAACACACTCACCTGCACCAATATGGATGAGTAGCGAACATGAGCACACAAGCTTGAGTAGTGTTGGTGTAATATAAGCCGTCCTCAACCAAGCTACATGTATTATTCAACGGTGGACCTCATGCCGGTGCTCATTGCCCCGGAGAGAGAGGAGCCTTGATGGATGACCTCTGCTGCGGCCTGAGTCACGTTGAAGATTAACCAGCAGGACTGGAAACAGGTCATCTCTGCCGACCCCTCGGGCTCCTGCATGGTGCTGCAGCACGGGGTCGAGTGGTGACAGGGTGGCAGTCCCCCCCTCCGCTGAGCCACATGCACCACGCCAGCCTTTACCCTGAGCAGCCCCCTCTGTTGCCGTGGCAGAAAGGTGAAGGGCATTGTGGGGAAAGAATGATTTTTGATATACAAGTTCGAGAGGAAGATTTGGGGATTGAGAGTGTAAGTGGAGCAGACCATTTATGATCAAAGTAGGCCAATTTATAAAGTTGGACTTGAGCTCATTCGAAAGAAAGCAGTAACATATTGAATATTGTCCAGAGTAGCTTAGAACTCGAAATCATGTATAATTGTACTTGGAAGAGGAGGGTGGAGGGACTTGGAGGAAGAAAGTTGGATTTAAACAAGTTGAGGCACGATATGGGCAATTTCTCTAAAATCCCTCTGTCAGCATATCTGTCACACAGTCCAACTTAGAAATGATTGTGCCCCAGTAGGGAACTTTTACTTATTTATTTAACTGACATTATTATAATTTTCATTATTGATGCCCCCTGTTCGTGGCGACTCGAGGGCAAATGTGAGAGGTTTGATAAAATGCAAAAATCTGCAGCGCAAGATCTTCATCAGTAGAATAAATTGCAGAATAGTATCATTGTCTCTTTAACAAGGCGTTCTATCAAAAGAGAGATCACCAATGTGCTTCTTCCATCCTTTGCCATTTAGTCACAGCCAAGACTGAGCTGAAGGGCTCGTTGAAAAGCAACTGTAAAACCTTCTCTCGTTTTCTCCAGCTATTCACTGTCATAATATGCAGTTAGTTAATTTCTGTTTGATTTTAATGCATAATTAACCTATACTCTTGCAAGTCCTGTGAGGTAAAGCACAGATCTTTAATTATGATTGTTGGTGCCTCAAGTATTTAATAGCAAGCAGTTGATCTCAGGATCTGTTGGCTAACCTCTACACACTGAGCTAATCTCACATTACTCAGAGCTCACATCCTGCTCTACAATCTACATTTATCATTAGGGAAAATGTGGCCTGGCCATGTGTGAGGGAAGCAGACTGAACCCATTTTCAACTATCAAAAAACAATATCTATGACCTTTAGTGTGACGCATGTGTTTTTGAAAATGCTCTCTTAACCTTTGTCTTTTAACCTTGTAAAAGATGTTCACTTGTGGGGATATTAAAGGGGCGCTCAAGCACTATAACCTTACACTTACATAATGTTAGGGGTTTTGCATAGAACACATTAAAACAGAATAGTTCAAAGTTAAAGCATCAGAGGGTGAGATATCCTGAGTGTAAGACCCCAGTATGAATGGAACATATAGAATGTCCCATTAGACCACTATTGCCTGTTTAATGCCTTCTTATTCCATGCCTTTGTTTGGTTCTCAAAATGCACTAAAATAATGTATCCACAGGCTCCATTGACACCATCAAAATAACACTGACTGCATTTGTTATATTTGTTATAGTCGGGTGTGTACAGAACATTTAAGCTTTTACTTCTCTGTTATCTGCTTTGATATCATGTCCTTAGTATCCCATGAATGCCATTAACTGCAAGAAGATAATTTTCAGTTCCCCAACGCTCTGTTAGTATGCCAGAAAGACATTACTAGCTAAGCTTGACTTTCCAGTATAAGCTGAACACAACTAGCTGGATGTGTTATCTCAACAAATGTCCCATATCTCATTTGGCAGCAGTTGCCTGCCACATCCAACAGTTTTATATGTATCAGTTTTAGTCTACTGAGCACAAACCTCATTATGGCTCCTCAAACACAGTGACAAGAGGCGCATTCACACCACAGTACTTTTCCCACAAAGGTTCATCAGAACTTAGTTCATGAGAACTCTTTAGTTCTCATGAACTAAGTACAGATCGCGTTCACACCGGAATAAATCCCTGGGGGAGGATTAGGCAAATGAAGCCGCTGACGTCACTTCTTCTTCTTCTGCTTTGGGTTTACTGGCAGGCCGCAAACCACTTCACGGCGTATACTGCCGCCCAAAGTCCCCGGCCGGAAGTCCCCGGAGTTGGGGACTGGCTTCAGTAGAAGCTGCTGGGACTCCCAGCAGCTTCTACTGAAGCCTTCCGAGTAAATCGCCAGAATGCCGACACCTCCTCATCCGATAATAAAATGGCGGCTTCACAAAACTTTTGGGAGTTTTACGGGGCGTGGTTTGCAATCCGCCCAGCCAATCAGACATAGGAACCTTTTTCTCCCACGAAAGTCCCTGCTCTCTAGCAGGGACGGAAAAGGGGGTGAAAAGGTTCTCATGAACTCATTTTAGTTCCGGCTCTTTTTGGTGTGAACGCAACATTTCGGAACTATATCGGAACTAAAGTGGGAAAAGTACTGCGGTGTGAACGCGCCTAAGGGTTTTTGCAGGCTGCCTTTTAGTAAAGTCCCAGTCGTGCATTAGCTGGTGGAGTGCTACCCTCTCGCAGCTCTTATTTTCCATAATAAAACACAGCTCAGCACATCTTTTGCTGCATACATAAAGAGGGGCCACCCTTGTGTCAGCCTAGGTAAGTCACAACAGGAGCACCAGCAAGGAAGGAACGTCTGCCCACATTTCAATAATCCACATCAATCACAAAGAAAAGAAGAATAGATTGCACCTCGTTGTTTCACTGATCTCAGCTGCTCAATTCTGGGCAGTTTCCTAACAGTCTCTATGGTATTACAGCATGGCATGGCACCATTTATGTCCTATATTTCCACTATGCTGCCATGGTAAACATAAAGTGCTACTGTTAACCTACTTCTGTGCTGCCAGGCGAACCCCAGCAGGAGCGCTTTCCTCTGTCTTGAGCGTCACTAGCGGAGGCACCAGAGATACTGCGACATGTCAATCATCTGCACCCCGCCGCCAATCACATGAAGTCTAAGATGCTTGGTATTATTCCAGCGTTTCTGTGGTACACACTCAGATGATAGCACACATACACACAGACTTAGATTTAAAAGACACACCTGCCAGTCTTCATCCCATCACACGACTAGTCTCAGTTGCGTGGCAGGGCTTTGTTGGCGAGTTGACAGCGAAGGTTGCTTCATAAACCTGCCACGCGTCCATCTCATCTCCCCCGCTGCTTTGGGATGAAGGGAAGTGATGATCCAGGCAATTTTCCGTTCCCTCTGCTCCATTAAGCTCACTGTAGCACCTTGACAATGTTGCATTCTGTCACAGAGGCTACGGGCAAGGCAGCGGGCTTTTGGGAAGGAGGAAAATGCTCGGGGAGAACTTTGTGGGATTTATCCGTCTCCAAACAAAGCCATTAACCGCTGGGCTTAGTCGTGCTTTAACTCACAGTGAGGGACAAAGTGTTGGATGTAGGTTGTGGTAGGCTGTGGTTGACGATGCAGTATATAGGGTGTTAAGAAAAGAAAGAGATGTCATCTTGGATGTGTGATAGCTTGTCTCGGCGTGCATGTAAGTGAGACTTTTGAAAGACTACATGAATTTGTTTGTAATGTGCAGGGCGTGGAACATCCCTGTCCTGCCTCCTCAGCAATGCAGCACAGCTCAGGGACTGCACATCACTATGTAGATGCAAATTGCAGTGTCATGCTGATCAATCCTGTAGGCTGCTGAGACAGGGTTATGCCGGGTCTGCAGCATCTTGGCTCCAACTGTCGCTCTGTCTGCCCTGTGCGCTGCTCTCTGTGTCTGAATGGCGTTATATGAGGCATGTCTAATACTTTGCTCTTCAGGAGGATATCTGTCAAGCTGGGTTGCTGCCCTGGCTTTTTCGATGACTTTAATTTGCTTATGTTACAATAACAAGCACATAAAGTATTTGCAAGACAAAACTCTTTGCAATAAACTCAACTAACCCCCATGTCTTTATTTATTCTTTACAGGACACAACCCCAATAGGAGAAACCTGTGGGACTGGAGAGAAACAACAAAGCGGCGTGGGACTAGCTGGTCAACACGGAGCTGGGTGGAGGGGAGGAGACATCACCGTCAAAACAGAGACTTCGGAGCATGCTAGCCATGCTTTAGCACATGCCAGAAAAGCTGGTTGATTACTGGACAAACACCTACTGCCTTTTCTAACACACTCCTGAGGCACAAAACAACTATCTCCCTCACATCTGTCATTTACTGTACACCACCCCTGCAACCATGCAGATGCCAAGGTTGGCGCTGTGGCACTTGTGGTGACGGGGCGCAGAGTGTGTGTGCACATCCGGCAGGCAGGCCAGTGGGTCGTGGGTGTACAGGCACACCAAGACGCATTTTTGGGTGGGCGAGGTTGCACCATGCGGCCCTGGGCGGGTTCATGGCGTTGGATTACCCTGGTGCTGTTGGCCTGGGGCACGCTCCTCTTCTACATTGGTGGTCACTTGGTGAGGGACAGCGAGCACCCGGAGCGCTCCAGCAGGGAACTCTCCAAGATCCTGGCCAAGCTGGAGCGGCTCAAGCAGCAGAATGAAGACCTGCGGCGCATGGCCGAATCGCTCAGGTATGTTGTTAGAACTAAGCTGATTGACTATAACGGCACTAAACTTTTTTCTTAAGTGTGCTTACATGCAAACTAGTATCCTCCCTATTTGGTTGTACCAATCATATGATGTTTAAGATACCTGAATACACCCATAGCTGGCTGAGAGAAACCTGAATATGCTGTCTGACTCAGTGCGTTTGAAACCAGTAGTTTGACATTAGTCGATTGTTAGCAGTTTCCAAAAAAACATGGACTAAAGTTAATAGTCATGTTTTATCTTTAGTGAAGTTATTGAATATTGCGTTTCACCCACATCCTCTAAAGCAGGGGTGTCAAACTCAATTTTATTGCGGGCCACATTAACATTATGGTTGCATTCAAAGGGCCGGTTGTAACTTTAAGACTATATAAAAATACATATATAAATATTGAATATATATAAAATAACGTATTACATTATTGCCTCTGCATTGGATTATTTTCGGATAGGTTAATAACTTCATAATTAACTAGGTCTGAAAGAAGTCTTTTCAGTGAGAATGTCACAAAATGATTTAAAAAGAAAAGCCAAATTCTGAGAAAAAGCAAATTTTGAAGAAAAAAAGTTAAATTTGAGATGCATTGTGGGACATGTAGTTTATGGGCAACGTGCTTCTGTAAATCGGCATGTAACCGTATAATAAACATATTACATTCTTTGCACGCTCTTGTGGGGCCTCAGCAAATGAAGTCACGGGCCGGATTTGGCCCCCGGGCCTTGAGTTTGACACCCCTGCTCTAAAGCCACCCAACTGAACTCCTGTTTTCAGGATAATTTAAATGCCCGAAAATAATTTTTTGGATTACTTTTTATGATCCGGCGAATGAGTTAATAGATTTACTTGACCGACATAAAATTGTACTGGGCAAGTAGTGTGGGTAGTATAACAATATCATATTAAACACTGATAATGCAGAGGATGAATTGTTAAAAAGAAAAACCCCGGAGTCAAGGCCGGCCTAGTTGTTAGTGAGTGAATTACACAAGCATATAAGGATATTAATTGCCATGATTTTACTATAAACATCATTTTAAGACTCAGATAAGACAAAAAACCAAGTATACTATTTTTTAAGTTTCCTTACTCAATAAAAGTTAAGTGAGATATTTTCAGAAACAAAAATAATCACAATCTTTCTTGCGTATCAAACAAGAGCTTTTCTGAACATCGTTATGAGTGGCAGAGTAGAATAGTTTTGATCTGTATTTGCAGTTCCAGCTTTGGCTAGTCAGTGCAATAACTGAACCTGTGGATCTGAGGTTCTGCAGAAAAGCACAGAGCAAACAAATGTTGTGCAGCCCTTTTTGCTTGCCTGGTCAATGTACTTTTGTTTTGAAGTAACAAAACAACAACTATGGTGCAATGCATCATCCTCCTAAGTTTCTGCAAAGTCCAGCAATTAAGTTCAGCCTCTAGCTCACTAGTAATCCAATCAGACTAATTTCACAAATCCCACCAAGTGGAAATGGGATGATGTTTCTGTTTTTGCTAACGTCTAATCAGCATATCATTAAATCAACATCTTGTGGCGCGTACAGACCAAATGTTGCTGCAAAGTTTCATCAAAAGCTGATCAGTGGTGGTGGAGATGCTGTGTTTGACAGACAGATGGATGGACTGTCACACACCTCACCAGATTTCTCATTGTGTTATTTTGGCAGAAAATAGCACATTGTACGAGCCCATTAACCACACAGCATCCGTCACACATTCGGGCTATGTGTTGGAAAGAGACAGATGGTTCTGCTCTTATCTCTGCATGCTGACAATGTTCCTCTTAGCACATAAATACTGTCTGTACATCTGTGTTTGCTACTGAGCACATGCATGTGCAGGGAATGCAGCAGTGCTATATTAACAGGGAACTCTAGCTTCAGATGTTGCCTCTTCTGTGATATTCTGATTCACTTTGATGCTGGGCCCTCATCTGTGCACACAAACAGAAAAACACACGCGCTCTCGTTGCTTCAAACAGCTGGTCCCTGATTAAATCCCTTGCTTTTGTAATTATTTAAAATTGGCTCAAAAACAAAGGTAGAATTCATGGCACAAAAACAAGTGCAGCTTTCAGTCGACCAGTGTCCAGATGGGTCCCCGACACACTGCGCGCTTGTTGCTTGTTATTGAGTTGGGTTGTTGATCTGGGACCGAGGCCTCCACAGTTGTTTACTGGGACAGCGCTACACTGCCTTCTCAAGTCCCTCTGAGCTTCAGCCTCAGCTAAGTATCTGGCACAGCAAGCTAAAAGAAGGCAACTGGCTGGCTGAGGTTAAGCTTCATGAGATATCGACTGCTTGGCTTGTGCTCCGTTTCATTTTGTCTCTTTCTTCAGCATGTGTGTGTCCAGTGGATAGATACAGGCCTAGAGGAGAACTGCAGCGTCTCTTATCCTTATATTAGAGCCCTAATAGACGCAAAGAGGCTGTTAGCAAGCTGCCCATCAGAGCTGCCCATCATCCCTGTCACAGCCCCTCCCTTCTCATCTCATTGCCCCGTCCTGTTTCTGTCTTCTTCACCTTCCTCCTTCTCCTCATTCCACTACCAAACTGCTGACAGAGGCATGGCGCCAAGCCAGACTCCAGCTCGCAGGTTGTCACTGACTGACTGACTATGTAACAACTCACTAGCTCGCTGATAGACTAACTGAACACATGCCTAACCCAATTCTCTGACTTGTACATTCAGCAGATTTGTACTGCGAACATGAATCTCTGAATGTTGCACAAGTACGCAAGTTCTCTGCAAGCACTAGCTGACATCAGACAATAAAGAAGGTTTCACCCAAAGCACCTAACCTTCACATTACTGCATTCATTCTTTATGAGAGGCCTCGGAGAAATTCAAACCCATAAAACTGACATTATATCACCTTTGTGTTGAGTTTTAGCACAGGAGAAGCCCACTGCATTGAGATTGATTTATAGCTATGAGTAGGATTAAACTTGGTTAGTGTCATCGCAGCGCAGCAGTACTAGATGGATGTGTAATACATTATTGGGCAGTGTTGTGCATTCATCATACACCTGAAGGCATCTTGTTTACATTGTCTCATTTGCTTTACGATAGAGAGGGATAGTTTGCTGAAGCAGTTAGCATTGGGATATTGATTTTGTTTTATCGTAAACTGCATATTTGTGAAGCATCCAAACGAGGATACTTATTCAACCTGCTAAATGGATTATTCGCGTCACCACTATCATGGTTTACCTGCTTTTTGCTGAACCATCTATATTTTTTAGAATGGGATTGTCATGTGAAATGAATCAATCTGTCAATCACAGCTCAGATTATAATTAGCATCACCTGGCTGGGCTACAGATCCAATCCGGTGAGTCTGTAATTCGGGCTATTCCTGAGCGACAGGCAGCTTGCCAACCTACCAATCACCCGGCAGCATTAATGAGAGGGGAGCACGGGGTCGAGTTGCTCAGTCTGTCTGGCTCCGCCCTCTCTGCAGCTGTCAATCACCTCGGGCAAGAAGCCACGGCTCCTGCAGAGACAATGACACACGCCGGCCTGATGGTGGGACATCGGAGGGAATGAGGGGTGAGAGTGACAGCTGGGCTGAGCGATGAGGACCTGATCGATCCTCCAGGCATGCCAACAGAGGGATGAAGGGAGGGCGGGGGCGATGCAGAGGAGGGAAACATGATGGATGGCATGAGGACTAAGTAAAGAGCAGCAGGGAGGAAATGAGGACTAAGGGGATGAGAGTCCGCACTGAACTGAAATCTTGTGGTACGGTTTGCATATGTCTGCTTAATTCGGGTCCCTATCTTTCAAGTAGAATGCAAATTCAAACTGTATAAACAGACAGGCGTTTATAGTTTAGGGAGGTGAGGTCCACCCATATACAAGGAGACTGTAAGAGAAGTTTTTAAAGGTCTCCTATTATACTGTCTTTCATCAATATATTATAGGTCTCAGATATATACAAAACATGTCTCTGAAGTGTTTGGCTCCAAACACCAAACAGATCATTGCAGCATTACCCATAATCCCCTCTGTTTCAGCCCTGTTTCAAAAGTGCTGATTCTCTGTCTGTTACTTGAAACTAAGGAGCCCCTCCCCACGCCCCTCTGAGAGAGATTTGGTTAAAAAGAACACAAGGGTGCTCTAGGAGGAGATTCAGGTGATAAGGTGGGGCGGGGGGGGGTTACCTTGGTTGGTGATTGGCTAATGGTTACACAAGCCAATACATCGTTATGACATCATAAAGTGGCCAAAATCTGATCAGCTGATTTTCAGACAGGTTTTTATATAAATGGATCAGAATGAAAATAAAGATAATCTTCTTTACTGAAACTTTCAGGATCTCTTAACACAGAGGGGACACATGTTGATGTAGAAAATACATGAAAAAGTGGATTTTGCATAATAGGTGACCTTTAATTCTGTACTGGTTTGAACCCAGCGGCCGCACCAAAACAGTTGCTGCTGCCGCTTCCAGGCCTGAACTCCCATCGACCAGTCCGGCGCTCGGGCCCGGTGAGGGAAGGGCTCCTGCCACACACACTGGCCCCATTGTGGGAGCTGTCTGTGGTCAGGACATCTCTGTCGAGTAGGGCTCGGAGCGGAGCCGGTTCTCTCCGGGTGTACTGAGGCGATGAAGCATGCAAAGCAAGAATGCACCGTTCAGAATCAGTTTACTTGGGAGCAATACTGTTTGAGTCAGTTGGAAATAACATGGGAACAGCAGAGGAAGGAGATGTCGAGGCAAGATGAACTGATTCGACACAATGCAGAAATATTCACACAAAGCCTCCCATGTACTGTAGTGAATACACAATGAGGTATTATGCAGTCATACAATATATAGTCAAAAGCACTATTGCTATTATTATCTCTACAAGCAGGTCTTTCAAACCGATTCTGAGCAGTGGTAGTGGGTTTCTCATGGTAATGACAAGATTTTTCCGCCTATTTATAGTGTTTACTTGCCTTTTCCCACTGGAACATTCCTGTGGTTTATTGGCTTGACTTATTGAAGTCAAGCGGTTTGTTTTAACACAAAGTGAGTTTGCAGGAAAGGCTGGAATAAGGTATTGTAGGGCTGCTCGATTATGGCAAAAATCATAATCTTGATTATTTGGGTCAATAATTGATATCACGATTATTAAAAAAACGATTATCCATTTACTTTGAAAACATCAATTTATTGAAAAAAAAAGAAAAAAGTACAGTATGTTTTTAATAGTTGATTACCCTGAACTGTAAGTATAATTCAACTGGAAAACCAATAAAATAGTTTAAAAAATAAAATACGCATTTTATTTAGATTATGTTTTCATAATTGTTGCAAGCTAAAATCCTAATTGCGATTAAAATACGATTAATTGAGCAGCCCTAGAACAAGGTAGTCCAGTCTTTGAAGCATCACAGTGTGGTGATTCCCACATAAGCGTATACAAATGCAGAGTTTGGGAACATCAAATGTTCTTTATAATGTTAGGGCAAATTGCCTGCTTTCATCTACACCTTCCAGAACACTTTACATCTCCATTCCTATGTATGGCTTCCCAGGTCAGCGCATAGGTTTCCTTTTGAAGTCAAGCAGATTATATTAAATCTAGCCACAGAAATATGTATGCGCAGCAGTGCCACCCTGGCCTCCACCGTTCAAACTGCTCCGCCCCGCCCTGCTCGCCCCGTGAACTCCACGGTTACCGGGTGGGGGGGGAGAGGAGCCAATGGAGCGACAGCTGGGGCGCATTTCAGAGGAAACTGGGCTGCATGCTGAACCTCACCTGCTTTCCGCCTCGGTGCTTAGTGCGAGTGGGTCTCATCACCCCCTGCTTTCATTGCTTGTCTTTCGCTCCACAGTATCCCCCCCCCCCGCCTCCCCCTAGTCAGAGTTTGACTCATCTGTTACCTCTCCTGTAACATTTGATTAAGACGCTGTTGAATCCGGCTGCCTTGTCTAGTCTCCGCTTCAGGTCCTTAGAGATACCGTCGGGAATCATTTGCGTATTTGTGCACGGTATTTGCCTCCTTTCCTGTCTGTGTGTGGGTTTTGATACCACTGAGTGTTTGGATATATTTGATATCTTCATATCTTAGTTGGGTGTGCTTGTGGTTTCCCTGCACCAGCATTGTTGCCTCAGCAGTTGATGTCACTTTGGAGCATGTTGGATAACCTCTGTGTCACGTCTCTACTCATTAGCTTCTGCTGGTGTGACCTATTTCTTCTGCCTTGTTCAAGGAGATACGTTGCTTTATGTTACAGTTGTATCATAGTGTAAAGCCTCTCGGACATGATGTCACTTAGGAAATTGTCCTACTTCCTGTACAAGGGTGTTATCAGCAGGTTAGGGTGTAGCCGTTGGGAGATCCTGTTGAATAGTGTTTGAACAGAGTTAGCTATTAGAAAAAAAAGTAGGGTCAGGGAATTGGAAGGAAATGCACCTGGGTCTTATTTCAAGAGATCTGTCAGGCAGCTGGCTTGGGCTTTCACAGTTTGTACAGAGAAAAGAAAGCTTGACGTTAAGATATAAATACCCATGATGCGAAGGTTTGAAAGGTTGATCCTCGTATAACGTAGGAGTTAACATATCCTCTCTCCGTTATTTCCACGGCTTTGAAGCACAATGCTCAGTTAGTGCTCAGTGAAGTGGGACGCCAGGGACCGAGGCGCAAACAGTGAGGGGGGGGGCGAGGATGGGTATAGCAGCGAGAAGGGCTGTGCAACTTTAAAAGTCTCATCTTTATGCCTGCCAGCGATTGATGTTCCTCACTCAGGGAGCACATTGAGTTTGCATGGCTTGATAACTCATTAACATGGTCGCTGCAGCACTTCGCCAATGCCCCTGTGCATTCGAACATATTCCATTTTTAATAGTTTTATGTAGGGGAAGTGATTTGGTATAATTTCAGCTGCAACTTTTCTCCTTGACTGATTTGATCTTTTTGTTCCGAGCATGTCGAGGTGCTCATTTGTGTTTTCATTACATGCAGTAGTTATTCATAGTTCATCGGCGCGGGACTGCAAAAATGTTTATTTATATCTTTGTATTTATTGGTGAGCCATGATTTACACTGAGAACATACAGCTTTAACACAGACCAGTACACATATATGCACTTAAAGATGACATATCACATTAATTCCAAATGCGTTAAATGAACTGAAAGGATTCCCAAACATCATTTAAACGATAATGAGCCACTTGGTCGGTTCATTTGCTAAATCCTTTAATTATGATGCTCTTTAGCATATCTCAGCTCCAGCCTTACAAGGCTACAGAGGCCATAAAGCTGAGTTGTGCCAAGGGAATAATTGTTTTGTTTTGCGACATATGTACATCATACTTTTAAGTTTATTTAGTGCAGGCAAGAAATCATTTCCCCACATTATAAATAAAAAAACAAGCTCACTAAAATATTCTTAGTCCCACTTACACATATAGGAAACACAAGGCTATCATAGCAACACTAATCAGAAAACTGTTGAAAGGGGGTTTCCTGTTTTGGCTGCCGATCATTTTCCCAAGTAAAACAACACATTATGTTTCATCTTTTTACTGCCCTGATTAAATAGTTTTGATTAGTTGTGTTTTTTATTTGCTAAAATGTGTTTTGGATCTCCTTCTCTTTTGACTAATGTTATTATTACCCAACTCAATTCAATAGCCATTACAGAGTAACAATGTTGCCGCAATACATTACAACAGTCGTTTTTAGAGCCATCAACCAAAGTCAAGAGAAAATACTAGCAATCTCCCTCTTTGTATAGTTGTTCAATCAAAGTCACAAAGAAACGGCACTTAACAGCCACTTGTCTCCCTAATGTGACATTTGCTAAATAGACTAGTCATTGCATAATGATCAGGATATAATGCTTGGATGTATTGTTCATGAAGTGCAGAGGCTGGATCTAACACAGAGGGGAAATGATTGAGTACTTTGTACATAATGTTGAGCTTAAAATAAATAAAGTGGGACAGGGCTCCAGGAGGCTCAGCTCAGCGTGGTGTCTAAGAAAATCAAGAAGATTTTTCACTGTTGCACATTAAAGACGTCAGCTCTCCCAGCTCAACTAAAACTGCACTTTTTATGCACAGAAACATCTAAATGGGAATATTCAATACACTAAGTAGGTCGGGATTCTTGGAATTTTGCACCTGACAATTAAAACTAAGTGTTGAATAACATTTAAAAAGTAGCAAGAGCACATGGGGTGTTTCTCAATCGCGAGTAAAGCTGCTCCAGAGCCACTATTTCAAGCATACTACGTCATCGAGTGCCGCCGAAGTACTGTTCCAATGTCCAGCATACTTGGAATTCTACCGAGCCCGGCGTACTTCGTTTGGAGACATTTCGAGGCTGCACATGTGTAGACTCCGCGGTCTTAAAATCCCCACAATGCTTTGCGCACGGACCAATTTCCCCAAATCTGTGGCGGAAAATGTAAGGCGGGGCCTCTCATATGACGCACACCTGCACACTTGCCAGCCTGTTCCATTCTTCATTCTCCGAGGCTAGGAAGTATTCTTGCCTCGCTTCTGAAGCAAGACGCTCGGAAGACATGTGCTACCAAGCAAGTGTACTCGAGATTGAGAAACACCCCCGGTTATGTTTTAACACTGGGGAACGAAAAACATAATAATAACATAATTAATCAGCGGTCTTGGCTCCCTCCCTGGGAAAACTACGTTTAGCTATCTTAGAGTTCGACTGTAGTCCACGGGACAAACAGGTTTATTCAACTTGCACAAGCCTATGTTTTCCTGCTTATTATATCAGATTGCTTTTAGCTAAATGGCATTTTTCTAACACTTTTTCTGTAAACTGTGCTGTTCTTGCAACACTATAATTGTAGTACAATTTGTATGAATTATTTAGTTTCCATTGGAATTTTGATTTACCGGGATGTAGTTTTACATTTTCAGCAGATTATTTCTGCCATGTCAAACTTTTTTGCAGTTTTTTCGTTCTCTAAAATTCTTTATTTGGAGAAAATATCAAACAAAATGACGAACAATAAGTAAAAAATAATAGTAATATAAATAAATGAATAAAAAAGTGTTTTCCTTCTCTAAAATTCTTTATTTGGAAACAAATTCAAACTAAAGTTCTAACGATAAGTAAAAAATACAAAACAATAATAATAGAAATATATATATATATATATATATATATATATATATATATATGTAGAAATAAATATATATATATATATATATATATATATATATATATGTATATGTAGAAATAAATGAATTAATACAAAAAAGTGTTTCCATCTATCAGTGTACACATGCTCACCCGTCCCCTCCCCCCTTGTGTCCCCCTCCTCCAGGATACCAGAGGGTCAGGCAGACATGGGGTCCCTGGCTGCTGTAGGGAGGCTGCGCTCCCTGGAGGACCAGCTGACCAGAGCCAAACAGAAGATCCACAGCTTTCAGAAACTCACTGGAGATGGTAAGCATGACAGCACTATGTATAAAGGTTGCAGGGAAGGATTTGGCACAGAGCTTGGAAATATGAAAGGATTGATTTTGAAGGTCCGGGGGTTGATGGTGTAAACCAGTCCACGGCTCTTGTGAGCTTTCGCCTGAAGCTGGAGTCTCAGTCTAGTCCGGCTTTAAACCTGCTGCAGCTGAGCACCGATGATGGCAGAGATATGGATGTGTATTTACCTCTCTAAGCGGCGGTCAGGGGGGTGGGAAGACTGTCTGGTGAGCGGGGAGATGTGTAAATGAAGTAGAAGCTGTGTGAATGCCCCAATGACGGCTCAGAGGAGAGAAAAGAGATGGACAGAGAGAAAATAAAGGACATGAATGCGTGAAGGGCAGCACAGGGTCATCCTTTCCATCTCGCCGCAGGGGGAGAAAAAGCTAAAAATACCCTCCAGCTTTTTTCCACTCGGAGAGGAGAGAAGAAAGAGTGTAAGATAGGGACGTTTCCCTCTCCACCACCTCCTTCTCCTGCTCGAGGCTGTCCTTCCCTTTCCCTCCATTTTTTTTTGTTTCTTGCCGCAGAAACCAGAGCAGTCAGCTGTGTGGTCCTTGTGGGTATCTCCACATTGTTTGTCGGGTGGGGTGTAGAGTTCCTTCCTGTTGTTAGAAGTGTGTGAGAAAAGACATGAGTGCCACGAGGCAGGGGAAACCGTATTGAGGTCAAAGCAACACCCAGGGACAACGAATAAAAGACAACATTTTCATGGTTCTAATCAAAAACGTTGCTTTGTTACGTTATCTTTAATGCTCAAAGACGTCATGGCATCATTTGTACATTGTTCCTCCAGCTGTATTACCATTGAGCTGCTTTGAAGTTAACGTCATCGATTCATTGTTTTAGATCATACCGGTGCCAGCGGAGTATCTTTGTTACGCTTTGATGTAAGCACTTCTCACGCATCTCTTCTCTCCCACCCCCAACAGGCCCTGGGCCCACTCAGGAGGAGCTGCGGAGGACGGTGGAGAACGGCGTTAAAGAGTTCTGGTACTTTGTTCGCAGCGAGGTGAAGAAATTGGCCAACGCCGAGCTCAGCGAGAGGCAGAAGTATACCGACACGCTCCTGCAGGACCTGGGACACCAGGAGAGGTGAGCGTGGGGATTATTGAGTGGAAATGTCAAAATGGATTTTGACGAAACCTATGACATCATGGACATTTTTTTATTGCATGTTCTTCTTATGCCTGCCAAGGTTACCTCCCACAGTCCAAAGTCAGGGACAGTTGCCTTTTCCAACTCAAAATTGCCTATACAAATGAGCTTGTTTGTTTTCTCTGTGGGTTGTTTCTTCAACTTGAAACACTCCCAGCAGGGACACAAATTCCTTAAGGATGTATTATATTACTTTTTATAAACCCTTATGCTGTAGTTGTCCTAAAGACTGGTGTTGATAGTGATGTTCTCAAATCACCTATTTCCAGGGCTTTGACTCCTCTAGCCTGACTGATATTAAAGAGCTTCTTACCTGCCCACTTGCTATGCTGTACTCAGGCCTGGTTATTTAACCTCAATACCGACTGTTGACCACCTAAAAGTGGAGTATCAAACTGTCAAGTACCACAAATTGGCGTTGAATGCTACAAATGTAACATTTATAAGCAGTGTGTGTAGTCCTGAGTACGGTATTAGAATGGAAATTAAAGTATTTCATCTGCAGGAGTAATGAAACATTTAGAACATTTAAATATCCATTGCTTTTGAAATGTTAGTTGGTCTCACCTCTGTGTGATAATGAAATATATTGAAATAATCAATCATTTTGACAAATCGTTAATTATCAAAAGTGACTTTCAAACATTCTCTATTTCTACCGTCTCAAATTCATAAATGTTTTCTCATCTTTAAGTCTACACAACTAATCAGTCAGCCGAAGCCCTTAGATAGGTGTTGGTAGTGATAATGGTCTTCTCTATTAGAAATAACTCAGAATCTTGATAACAAAAATTGTATCTGTCCTCATTTGGTATTGTGGAAGCATTCATTGTCAAACCCTCAGTCTACTGTTTACCAGCTCTGCCTACTGATGGTAAAATATGACACATTTGACAGGGGGACTTGAAAGCAGCACTGGTGTGGGTTGCTAAGAAACAAAGGGCAAAGGTCATGGATGCACTCTCTTTGTCTGTTGGCCAGCTTCACACGGCTGAATGAAGAAAGGCCTGATGTCACAGAGCCAAGTGGTTCATTGTAATCCTGCTGAAGTGGCTTACAGGCCCCATTGTCTTACTCATTGCTGCCTAAGCAGCTTTCCAATGACTGATTCCTCAACCCGTACACTCACGTACAGTCACAGACCTTCACTCGCATTCACTCTCCATCTAAGCCCCCCAGCCTCTGTATGTGCCGCAGGCGGGGGCTGGGGGTACAGCACAGGAAGGGGCAGAGGTGGAAAGAGCAGTAAAATGTTTGACTGGAATAAATGCCCCGCTCTCTCATTTAAATTCTGCTCGGGGAAAAGGGGGTAAGGTCCTTGTCACGAACATTCCCCATTTAATGTAAAAAATGAAGCACACTACTTACCCTCTCCCTTATTAACATGATCACTGCGCTATGAAGGGCTCTCAGTGCCACATACAGCTGATATGAAATCATGTGGTTCACTGAGGAGGAAAAGCACACACAAAGTTCAAATGTCTGCAACAGGAAGTGAACATCTCCATCTGCAAGAGAGTGTACCTCTCAGGTCAAAGTGTGTCTGTAATACAGTATATTGTAAAACACCACATCACAATGTATGTTGATACCAAGTCCAAGCAAAATCTCTTAAATTAACAAAAGGTTTTACATTTAGAAGGTACTTAAAGCACTCGGGGAACCATGTAAGTGTTAACATCTATATTTCCATGACAACTGGGCAGACATTTTATGATATGATTATCAAAGCTCCAGAAAAGCTCATCAGGGCCGTTTCTTCCTATATGCGGACTATGCGGTTGCATAGGGCCCCGGCGGCCACTAGGGGGCCCCGAGCTGAGAGTTCAGATTCAGCCGCTGCACGTCAGTAGAGTAGCGAGCGTAATGGGATAATCATGGCTTCAAAACGGACATATCCCTCTGGTTCAGAAAAAAGAAGAAAGAAGAAAGCTGAAGAAGAAAAACGCTCACATGATGAGAATAAGGGTAAGGCATTTGTTCATGGTGTAAATTCACTTGTGGGGTGGAGGGAGTAGCTATAATATTAGCCAATGTTTGAGCAAGTTTGCTACTTTGAGCAAGTCATGCTAGCTGCGCTAGCCTCAGCTAGCTCCGTTAGCTTCATCTTAATTGATAAGAGCTAGTTGGCTAGGATTGTTTGTATTTTGTAGGCGAATAAACCCACTTTAATACAGTGTTTGCTTTACGAAAAGGCTCAAATAAAATTGTCATGCAAAATGGACTGTGCTATGGGAGTGACACCTGCTGTGTTGGAGTATAGCAGGCTAAGTCAAAATCACTCCCAGTCTGTTTTTCAAGAGAGGAAAACTCATCTCTTTCGACTCCACTTCGAGCAATACAATTGCTAACAAAGCACTTATATACTAACAAAGGACTGGCTTACCTAAAGCCAGTCCTGTAGCACTTGAAATGTTTGGCTCTATGAAACCTGATGTACTTATATGATTCTGTTTTCTTCAAGGTTGTGTCTTCTTGGTCGAAGGCACTTATTGTAAGTCGCTTTGGATAAAAGCGTCAGCTAAATGTGAATGTAGCTTTTCAAAAAGCTAATAAAGAAATCAATATGATATGTATCTATTGTTGGGGTTAAATTATGGAACAAAGCTTTAAATGTACATTTAAAAATGTACCTTTTTTTTGGTTTTCAAGAAATTGTTTGTATTGCTTTTTGGGGGGATACAAATGTGAATAATGTATTTGTTTTGTTTTCGATTTAATTAAAAGAATATAGGATATTCATATATAAGCTTTTTGCCAAAGCCTTTTCAGTCACTAATTACTGTTGTATAAGTTTACATTGTGATATGTTTATGATTAATGTTTGTATGATGACTGTTTTAAAAATAAACAACAACAAAGTTTGCTTGCTAATTTAAGGAGTGTTGTCTTTGCAGGGACAATTCTCAAGTACTTTGTGCAAGCAGAGCCAGATGCTGCAGGTCCATCCTCCTCATCCTCCTCATCACCTCCTGAGCCACATGCAGGTCCATCCTCCTCATCACCTCCTGAGCCACATGCAGGTCCATCCTCCTCATCACCTCATGAGCCACTTGCAGGTCCATCCTCCTCATCACCTCCTGAGCCACATGCAGGTCCATCCTCCTCATCACCTCCTAAGCCACATGCAGGTCCATCCTCCTCATCACCTCCTGAGCCACATGCAGGTCCATCCTCCTCATCACGTCCTGAGCCACATGCAGGTCCATCCTCCTCATCACCTCCTGAGCCACATGCAGGTCCATCCTCCTCATCACCTCCTGAGCCACATGCAGGTCCATCCTCCTCATCACCTCCTGAGCCACATGCAGGTCCATCCTCCTCATCACCTCCTGAGCCACATGCAGGTCCATCCTCCTCATCACCTCCTGAGCCACATGCAGGTCCATCCTCCTCCTCATCCTCCTCATCACCTCCTGAGCCACATGCAGGTCCATCCTCCTCATCCTCCTCATCACCTCCTGAGCCACATGCAGGTCCATCCTCCTCATCACCTCCTGAGCCACATGCAGGTCCATCCTCCTCATCCTCCTCATCCTCCTCATCACCTCCTGAGCCACAAGCAGGTCCATCCTCCTCATCACCTCCTGAGCCACATGCAGGTCCATCCTCCTCATCACCTCATGAGCCACTTGCAGGTCCATCCTCCTCATCACCTCCTGAGCCACATGCAGGTCCATCCTCCTCATCACCCTCCTGAGCCACATGCAGGTCCATCCTCCTCATCACGTCCTGAGCCACATGCAGGTCCATCCTCCTCCTCATCCTCCTCATCACCTCCTGAGCCACATGCAGGTCCATCCTCCTCATCACCTCATGAGCCACATGCAGGTCCATCCTCCTCATCACCTCCTGAGCCACATGCAGCTCCATCCTCCTCATCATCACCTCCTGAGCCACATGCAGGTCCATCCTCCTCATCACCTCCTGAGCCACATGCAGGTCCATCCTCCTCCTCATCACCTCCTGAGCCACATGCATGTCCATCCTCCTCATCCTCCTCATCACCTCCTGAGCCACATGCAGGTCCATCCTCCTCATCACCTCATGAGCCACTTGCAGGTCCATCCTCCTCATCACCTCCTGAGCCACATGCAGGTCCATCCTCCTCATCACCTCCTGAGCCACATGCAGGTCCATCCTCCTCATCACCTCCTGAGCCACATGCAGGTCCATCCTCCTCATCACCTCCTGAGCCACATGCAGGTCCATCCTCCTCATCACCTCCTGAGCCACATGCCACAGGTACATCCTCCTCATCACCTCCTGAGCCACATGCAGGTCCATCCTCCTCATCACCTCCTGAGCCACATGCAGGTCCATCCTCCTCATCCTCCTCATCACGTCCTGAGCCACATGCAGGTCCATCCTCCTCCTCATCCTCCTCATCACCTCCTGAGCCACATGCAGGTCCATCCTCCTCATCCTCCTCATCACCTCCTGAGCCACATGCAGGTCCATCCTCTTCATCCTCCTCATCACCTCCTGAGCCACAAGCAGGTCCATCCTCCTCATCACCTCCTGAGCCACATGCAGGTCCATCCTCCTCATCCTCCTCATCACGTCCTGAGCCACATGCAGGTCCATCCTCTTCATCCTCCTCATCACCTCCTGAGCCACAAGCAGGTCCATCCTCCTCATCACCTCCTGAGCCACATGCAGGTCCATCCTCCTCATCCTCCTCATCACCTCCTGAGCCACATGCAGGTCCATCCTCTTCATCCTCCTCATCACCTCCTGAGCCACAAGCAGGTCCATCCTTCTCATCACCTCCTGAGCCACATGCCACAGGTAAATTTGCTCCTCCTGCAGACTTACAAGCAGAGCAGCCAGCTTTTGGTCCACCAATAGATCCAGCTGATTGGCCATCAGTGCTACCCGATTCCTTTAGGACCGATTTAGTAGGTAGAGGGCCTTTTCAGGTTGATAAACAATTC